CAAGTCTGAGGTATTCTTACGTCAACATCAGTTCAACGCACACATCGTTTTCAGCATTTTTTATGTCAACACTCGGCTCCATGTTTGTTACAGGTGCAAATCAAAGTACTCCTGTAGCAGCTCCAGGAAATCGGTTCCTTCAGATCATGACTCTGCTGGTTCAGAGGACAGACAGAGTGATCAACAGGAAGTGACAAACTGTAAAGAAAGTACCGCCCTGAGGCACATGAGCAAAACCAGCAGCTCGGAATGGAACAGCTCCGACGACCTGGCTCTGTCGGAGCCCGAGGACAGAGAAAGTACTTACAGCTCCAGCAACAGCCCGGCCATCGCCTCTGATTCTCTGTGTCCCGACGTCACGTTGCCACACCAGCCTCCCTGCAGTGTGACGGAGGAGCCTCAGCAGCTCAGCGGTCAGCTCGGCGCCTCAGGGTCGCCCCGTCTAAGACCTGCCCCGCAGATCTCGCCTCACAGGACGGGTCAGTCAGGCCACGCTCCGTTTCGTCCGAGGATGTTGCAGGAACCATTTCCCTCCAGTCCGCGTCTTTCATCGTCTTCCTATGTCAGTCCTCACAGGAGGTCTGACGCCTCAGACCTCAGAATGTTCTCGGACGCCAGCTCCAAGTCGGGCTCCGACCCCGGGAGGAGCACGCCGTCGTCATGTGAGAGTGAGGAGAGGCCGACAGGATGCAGGGCGGAACAGACGGCGCCACCTCAAGAGGTTTCTCTGACAACGTACTTCAATGTGGATAACTGCATGACAGAAACGTACCGTCTCAAGTACCACAACCAGAGGCCCCTGGTCCTCTCCGCCTCGGTGCCCCGGAGCAGCACGGAGCGCAGGGAGAGCGGTCACTCACTCACTGCTGACTCACAGTCACAAGATGTGCCAAAGACTAGAACTAAAACAAGTAAGCCTCCATTCACATGCTGACACAGAGAATGTGCTGTCCTCCCCTGTCCTGCTGGGGGCAGTATACACACAGTTTTAATGCTCCAGTCAAAGTCAAAACTTTATAGTTCTTTTCAATCTTATCTTTAAAGACAGTGTTGTAAAAGACACTGGTTAGTAACAGCAGGTTAGTGGAGGGGGGGGGGGGGGCGGGGGGGCACTGGGCACTCCACTTCTGAACCCTGTGTGACAAACTCAAGTGCTGCCGTAGTAGAAATGTTTGTGTTTTGGTTTGAAATTTAACTATATTTCTCTCCCAAATAATTTTAAGATGTCAACTTACAAAAACAACCTCCTCCTGTGAGATGATTTATCTTTAAGGTCATGGGATGTGAGCCTTGTAAGTCAAAATTAAAAAATGTAATACCTGAAACACACAAAGACATGTCGCTTTGTCGGTTCATCATTTTATCTTTGTCGCTTTTCTCAGTCAGAAGAATGAACAGTTTTGACTGTGAGTTTGTAACAGGTTTTCACGAAGCGTCATCAGATTTCTTTAGACTTTGTTTGGTGACACGGTATTCTGGTCTTCTGAATTTCTCTTAAAAAAATTGACCTTAAAAAAAAATTAAATTGAAAAAATTAAAATATTTTTCAGTTATGACATGAACGTCTGGGATGTGAGCCTTGTAAGTCAAAATTAAAAAATGTAATACCTGAAACACACAAAGACATGTCGCTTTGTCGGTTCATCATTTTATCTTTGTCGCTTTTCTCAGTCAGAAGAATGAACAGTTTTGACTGTGAGTTTGTAACAGGTTTTCACGAAGCGTCATCAGATTTCTTTAGACTTTGTTTGATGACACGTAGAGACGTAGCTCTGGTATTCTGAATTTCTCTTAAAAAATTGACCTGAATATTTTTCAGTTATGACATGAACGTCCTCAAAGATCACGTTGACTGAGACAATGTTTACATTTTTGTCTTTCTAGGCCATAACAGCAATAAACTTACTGCAAAATGGAACCCAGTGGGAACCAAAGGACTGGATGAACGGGGGTTTCTATGACCGTCAGTTGGTAAGTGTTGTTTACAAAGATGGACCGAGCTCAGCGGACGATGACTGGATGCCAAAGAGGTTAGAGAAAGGAAAATGTTCCGGGGGTTTGACATTAACACATTGGTCAGTATTTTATGCAAGTTTTTCACGTCATTTTAAATCTCTATATAAATTATTTTTGATCGTCTTCTTGATACGTCTTCCTTTGTCTTAAATATTATTGCAAGAACCCTCCGTTTGGTTCTAGTTCTAGAGAGTTCTCTGCCTGCACATGTTGTGGGGGTTCTTTTTTGGTCACTTTATGTAAAGTTTGAAAAGCTTTCAGACTTATTTACTTGATTTATTTCTTTATTGGTGCAATGTATTGCAGATTTATAAAAGAAAAAGAACTGTAAAGACGGGCACTTTAGAGACAATATGAAGCTCAAACGGAGAATCTGAAGAGGTGCATTGTGGTCCTGATGGGTGGTCTCTGTTTATTTTTAGGCAGGTTATTTATTTTTTTGGCAAATGTCTAATGTCCAGAGTCACAGCCTGGCTGTGTTTGGACTGAAGGGTCTTGGTTTTCCAGAATAGGACTGCTTCATGTTGTGAACAGCTGTCTGAGGGCAGGTTACTAATTATATGCAGAGGTTTTCAGTTGTTTTACCCTCTGACCTGATTTCCAGTTTAAAAGGTTACCCTTATCAGCGTTTCGACACCAGTTTGTGTTAATGATCGACCGAAGGCCGACCACGTCTCACCTGGAGTGTCTGTAGGAAAAGATGAAAATGATTCTGTAGAATTTTAACCTTAAAATGTCAGGTTTTCTAAAGGACAGTTTTGTTTTCTTTTAACGTTCCGCATTTTCATAAGATCATTCTCTCGCTGGAACACCTGGGGTTACAGTTCCTGTTACTGATCACATGCTGATGTGTTTTTTCTGACTCTTATTCATGTTACATTTTTCTAGTCCCAATATTTTCAGTAGAAAAAATTGTATGCATCTGTTGGGATTTATATTAAATGACATCCGAGATTTAAAAGCTGATCCAATATTGATCATAGAGTCGTCGTTGGGAAACCTGCATGTGGCCTTTAGGGATGTCTTAACAGCGACGTTTGCAGCCTAAGCATGAGCATGAAAATACTGGACTCTGAGTCCAATAAACATCAGTACTATGGGACTTATCATAATTGTTATATATGCAGATAGTGTAATTTCATGATGACATTTTAATGACTCCATGACGTTATATTGTTAATGTACCCTTTGTAAATATATACAGTACCTAAGGGATACGACTGTAAGCAGTGGGAAAGGTAACTTTAAAGCAGTGGGAGGAACAGAATGAGCCTCGCTCTTTTGTCCCTCACTTTTACCTGCATGCTAATGGCCCAGAATGTGTAAAAAAACATTTTTTAAACCCTAATGAAATCTAACATAAACCGGACAAATAAATAAAACATTTTTTTCCCTCAGAACTGGACAAAACAAACATTAACCACTGTTTTCCACTCAAATTAGCAATGTGGCCCACTTTTGGTCCGTAACCCACCTATTGTGGAAAAACGGCCAGGAACAGTTCACTTTATTGCCGTTGGGTATTATTGTATGTATTTACATACGTTTTATGTACGTCCTCATAGTCAATGCTAAGAAGACAGTAGAAGAATAGAACCCGTCCTGAGACAAGAAGTATCTTAGATTTTAACTTTTAAAACAACATTTAAAATTAGGAAATTATATTTCCTGCTGTTTTAATCAAAGAAAAAATCTCTCAAACTCTCACACCACTTCGACTCCGTGTTTTCCTCCACCAGGTGGTGCAATTGAGTTCAAATTGGATTCTCAATTATTTCTTAGCTTTTTCATATGTTTGCTGTAAATATTCACTCCTTGACATTTTCCAAAGTTTTATTTTCTGCAATGGTTTTTGTCATTGTTTGTAAAACGTAAATAATAATAATTTCTTGTTTCTGTATCATTTGAATGTTGTCTGTTATCAAGCGTGCCTTGTTGTTTCCAGAGAGACATTTTTTCACGTTTGCGTGATTTACAACTGAAAGTTTTAACACGGAGAAAGGAAAGGACGGAAGGTTGTCATGCAAAACTTTTCAATATGCAATGATGATGTTGACATATCTGTGCACTGCAGCGCTGTGTGTTCTCTGTACGAGGGACAGGTCGACCAGAGGATTTGTGCCAAGAATGATTTTCCTAACAATGATTTTCCTAACAACCCTTTGAGACTCGGACGCAGCAGGAAGTTAGAGTTAGAGTTGACCAGAGCTGGACGCGGGACAGTCAGGGCTTGTCGTGTCACGTGCACAAAGCTCGGTGCTTCTAAGTTTGAAGGTGCCTTAATGTAGTTTAAACAAAATTTATTTTTTATAGTGTACGATGAGAATGTGTGCTTGGGTAAAAAGGATGGTTTTTTTTTTTGGTTTTTTTTCACGCCTGATTTTTCTGACTCCTCGTAGACACTCTATATACTCTGATTAAAGCCTGTTTTACAGATTGTCCTTTTTTGTCCTGTTTGAAGTGACCGTACAGTAGACATTTCATCCAGTTGATGTTGGTTTCATAAAGCTTTGTCACCTTTTACTAACCCGTCAGTGTTTCAATCACAGCATCACTCATCGTTGTCAAAGAGTTGACTGCATAAACTGTCTACACTTTATATTTTTGTACATAAATTTATTTTTATTTATTGTTAAATAAAGTTTAAATTATTGTATGACCTACAAGTTCATGATTTATTGTTTAAAAAAATCTGTTGTTTTTTTTACTGACACAGGAAAAAAAAAAGAGAACACGGCAGCAGGTTCACTGTGACTTTTATTACTGTAAGTATCAAAACTTTGTGCATATACTGTGCAGGCGATTCAAGTATTGTTGCTTTGAAAGACTGTTGTTGATGAAACTGAACTGATCGATGGCCTCAACACAATACTGCGTTGTGGCCGTGTTCACTCCTTCTTGAATATCCTCTTGGCCTCCACACCTTCGTAGCTGTAGCTCTGTTTGAGAAAGTCGCGGTCAGTCGTTATATAATATGACAGGTGTTCATGTAACTGAAGGATGACAGTCAAGAGTACAAACGGCTGACGAAACTACAGCTACTTTTCAGTGTCCGCATTATTTTAAACACGTTTAGCTTCATCTCACCTGCACCATCTCGTCTCCCTGAACGGTTCTGATGGTTGTCAGCTCCTTCCCGTTGTCCTTTCTGGTGAAAACACCCGTCAACGTGTCTCCCTCCATTTTCCACGAGCCCTTGGAGGTAAAACGTCAAAATCTTACTGTAATATTTACACAGACTGGATTCACCTCAGCTCAAAGTCCTCGTCTTATCCATGTCTTTGTGAGCTCGAAGGAGGAGAATGAAGAGTAAAGGTGAAACAGAACGCTCCTTACCGATACTTCAGTTCCATCGGCCAGGCTGTAGTCGAACGTCACCCCCAGGGTGAAGTCGAGCTCCAGGGTGCGGAAGGCGCTGCTTTCCTTGACGTGGAACTTGTCTCCGGTCTGTTGAAGTGTGATCTTCAGGTTGTCGTGGGCTGCCAGTTTCCTCTTCACCACGTTCACTCCTACAGACGAGGAGGTTCAAGGCCATTAGTAGACTGACCGGTCAGTGTGTGCTAGTGTTAGTGGATGTGGGTGGTAGTTGCTGTGACTTCAATGACTGGTATGTTTTGAGAAAAGTAACTCAATCCAAATTTTAACCATCAGCCTGTTAGATAAAAATGAATTTTATCAATTGTTTATTTTGGAAATTTCATTTTAATGTCATTTAAATTCATATTTTTAAGACATCTAGTTAAAAAATATTTAATATTTTCTTCAGTATATTTTACATTTATTCAGTGTGTAACTTGTATAATGTATAAATGCTGTAGATGTTTTTATATTTTCCATTTAGTATTCCATCAGTCTCTCAATTTGCTTTGATTTCTTTGTAGGTTTGATAAGTAAAACCAACCGTAAATTAAAAAAAACTATTGTAAACAACAACTTTATCTTTAAAATAAAACCAACCGTAAATTTAAAAAAACTATTGTAAACAACAACTTTATTCAATTAATCTGCACTTAATATAATTTAATAATCGGTCTGGAATTAGAAATAATAGTTTCACTGTTGTCATGGCAATAATGTCTTTTCTTTTTTTCCATATATTTAGTTGACATCACCCTAAATTCTCAGCAGATTTTTAGAATTTTCTGACATCACTCACCCATTTTTGACATGAAGGCATCGTAGTTTTCACTGCGATCAACTTTCCAGGTGCCGTTGAAGGTCATGGTGGCTGCGAGGGTGGGAGTTGGACCCTTCAGTAAGGAGTGAGGAGTGTGTCACTCCCACACTGCAGCTGCTTTTAAAGCACACTCCCTCTTATCTGGCCATCGATCTGAATGCTGATGTGGCCGTTTAAAGCTCAGATTTGGCCTCAGCTGGAGTCTGTTGGGCAATGCCAGTGTTTCCGTTATTGAAGAGCCAAGAAAGCAACGTACGCTGTTGTTGTTACCTGCTGAGTTAAATAAGTGGATGTCTGACATCCTGTTTTACCTGTACCTGTGTTTACCAAAGGGCTGGTATGCAAACATAGCAGTAATGATCTGACTGTCAGTGCTCTTTCTGCAACGCCGTGGTACAGACATTTGCTTAGATGCAAAAATATAGTTATTCAATTTTATATGAAAAGGAATTTTGAAAATAAAATGCATATGTCTTCCCCTGGATAAATAGTGCATGTGACAAAAGATGATTTATACAAGTACAGTACATCACTGATCACTTTGGTCGATTGTATGTTTCCACTGCATACCTTTGACCTTAATCGTCTCATCCTTGATAAAGCAGACCTTTGATAGAAAAAGTTAATAATAAACAAACTTTTTTTGCAATGATGCAACATTATATTGAATATCTTATTGGGTTTTTTTTTAAAGTTTTTCTCAAGAGAAGATGATACCACGAGGATTTCTTTTTAAAATCTTTAAATGTTTGCAAATACTAAAAAAAGACAGTTAACGTGTCAACTTTCTTATCTGAGTCTGCTCATCTTACACCGATACACCTTTGCCTGACCTTCACTGGCACCACTGTTTATCTGCACCTTATCATAGTGGTGACGGGCGATGGGTGTTGCAGGTGTGTGTTTGGGATTTACACACTTAACATTATCTTTATATCTGTCAGGTTGTGGTTGGATCCAAGTTGTAGTATCAGCAGTGGTAATATATGATAAAAAACAACAAACAAACAGCAAGACTATTGTAAACTTAAAAAAATAAGTGCTGAGTTCAGACGCCTGTAGAGAAACAGACGATCATGTTCTTTTGAGATAATTATTTTACAACTGCTTTTAAAGGATCGTTATCCTGCTGTGGAATTAACTTGCAAAGGACCTGACACCTCTCTGTCTGTCCCTGGGAAAGATAAGAATTGGAAAATCTTACAGATAAAGTATTTTCCTTTAAGAGTGTTTACTCTCTGATTCTAGTGGTTTTGATACATTTTACAACACAAATGTGCTGATTTTACCCTCTTTCTGCTTTAATACAGGAGAGAAACCGTGTTGTAATCACACACACTGACCTTCTACAGTCGCGTCAATGTCTTTAATGAACATTTGTAAAATATTACGTCACACAGATCTTACATAAAACCGCAGTGACTGACAGTGTAAGACAAACCAGACAGTACCATGCAGCACCGGAGAGGGCAGACACGAGCCCAACTGGTGCTTGTCGCTGCAGTTTTTCAACTCAGAGAACCAGGTGTCCACAACTTAGCGATGTCACAAAGTTAAGACGACATACAGCGGATACTTTGCCTATGTTCCCCAATTGTTAAGACTGTTACAGCCGAACAGTTATAGTGAAAGTAATGTCCACGAAGCAGTGAAGTGGAGAGAAATACACACCGACTTTATTTACTTATAAAGGTAAGACCTTGATATACCTTTAACTTTATGTTTTATAAAGCATATATGTTTAACTCAAAGAACATTGTGTCAACAGCGTAAAGTATTGTCAGGCGTGTGGAGTAAAATATTTATGAAATATTAATAAATCGTGAAAATGAAGTGATATACGAAGCGAGCTTTCCCCGGTGTGCGTGTTCCATTTTGTGACTTACGGTTTGTGTTGTTATCTACTGACCACCAGAGGGAGCACTTGATCAAAACATTCACATTCTTAAAAACAACAGGCTAAAAATGAAATCTCAAACCCAATTTCGAACTTAGGATATAAAATCATTATCCTCTTCAAAAAAGTACAAAAAGAAACTCTTTTAATTTTTTTCTTCTCAAGAGAAACTTTTATTTAAACCCATTTTGTGTTATTGCCAAAGAAATTCACATTCTCAAAACAAACAAACAAAAATAAACAAACATTTATAGTAAAAATGACTGGTGAGATGTGAAGATAGTGGTTACATGTACACATGAAAGGGACATTAAAGCATTTTCAGAGTTTCACCTTCTACAGCAGTTTATTCATCTGTTGCATGAACACCATGTAATGAACTGATCAACTAAAATTAATCCTTAAACTAAAGAAAATAAATAGAAATGTGTTGACAATAAATAAAATAGTTAAGGAATATTTTGATTTTATATATATATATATATATATGTGTGTGTGTGTGTGTGTGTGTGTGTATATCACAGTCTGAAAACAATACTTCCTGTAAGTCAGAGTTAACAAAATGTGAATGTAAGATAAGAGCTGTGAAAGAAATTAACTAAAGGTTTTATATAAATATCATATATTTTTATTTACTTGTGTTACAGAGATGTGCGTGTGCGTACAACCATTTATATCTAAGTGTATTCTTAAATTGTGACTTTTCCATTGGCACAAATGTGACAGTTCATACTATAGTTAATACTGTAACTATAATACTATGATTTTAACAACAATGGCTGACAAAATACCTTGTCTTAATTACAGTATTAGATAAACTAGATACTTCTAAATAGATACTTCTGTCACAACAAATATACAACAATATACACCTCACCTACCTTATAAAATTAATATACAAACAACATGTTATTTAATTTAACCAAAGTATAATTTTACTCTTCATAAAACACTGCATTGTTGTGAAGACGTATAGAATCGTGAGTTTAGGCCATAATTAAGAATCAGGAAAAACAAAACAACAGGGTCATATTTACTAATGAATCAATAAATATTGTGGTTCACGTACTAAAAATATCTGCATGTCTTTGAAAAAGTAGAACTTTTTTCCCCCACCCATCTCATCCAAACGTAGTGTCACACCACTGGCGATGTTGTAGTGTTGGCCGTTTAGGCTTTAGCCATCAGTGGACCTGGACAGAAACCACACCTTCATCGGCTCCTTCTTTCCCTTCATGGAGACTGGTCCTCGGTATTCCAAACGAAACTGAGGGTCAGCGTTCTCAGCAGACTGCAGACACCTGGGGTTCAAAATGTAGGACATCGTCATCAAATATGTATAAAAATGCTATTAAGACCAAAGTGTTTTAGTAATCACTTGGGCTTTTATTTACTAGGCATAGTTATTGTTTATTATTATTATTATAGTCATGATGAAGGTAATGGCTCACAGTCTTTATAGAATTATATTTAACTGACACCAATAACGCTCCACTAAAGTGGAGTTTAAATGGATCACGTCCTGATTTCTCTAAACTACACATGATAATAATTTTGGAACTAAGAAAACTGTTTCTGCCTGATTCTCCTCTTCACCATCGTCTTTGATTAAACCCATGATCATGCTATACATTTTAACCAATACTACAGGAGAAAAACAGAACTCATATGAATCATGTTTTCTAAGATTCTTTCTTACGACCTACCTGTAAGTATATTCTGAGACATTTATTTTGCCCTTTTCACCAGTAGTTTCAGTACGACTTGTAAGATTGACTGTGTTCCCAAAAAGGCAATATCTTGGCATCCTCTGGCCAATCACTCCAGTCACCACCTCTCCAGTGTGGATACCTATAGTAATCTGGGCAGAAAAAAGAAAAATGAATATGGGAAAACACATAAATAATGACAGAATTTTTTTTCTTTCTTTCCAATGAACCTTTGCGAAAGACTGGGTAAATGATCTCCACAGACAGACCTGCCTTCAGCTATCCTGCTAATTGTTAGTCTTGCTGTGTTGGCACATAATCATAAAGCTACTAACTGGAGAGATGTAACATTTTGTGGGAGGATTAAGGGCAACTCTGAAATCAATCCATGCACAAAATAAGAATCTTTTATAGATTTGGCTCCTCAATAAAAAGCCATTTTCCAGAAGAAGCCTCAGGCAATCTACAGACCAGTGATCACACTCAAATATCTTGGGCACTCCACTGCTTATTGTTTTTCGGGCTGTGAAGGTGCTCAGAGTGTCTGGTACAAATAAGTGTGTCTATTTTTAGCCCGCAGATCGTGAGATGATTTGAGTCTGTTTTTGTTACTCTCTTCAGCCAGTGCCATGTCCCAAAATAAACAGTCTTTTGTACAGCAGACGTGATTTTCCAAAGAAAGGTCTCAACAGTCATTGATACAATAACAATCTGAGGAGAGTCAGTCAAACAAAAGCCAGCTGTTATTTCTCCGACATTCGCCTGCTTATCGTTACTTCACCACCAAAATATGTCCAGATGCACTGAAGAAGTTCAATCAGTACAAACAGTCCCAAAGACTGGAGAGCACAGACTCGTCCGCTGCAGCAGGTGCATGGCTCATGTTTGTAGGTATAAGACTCTCGGCCTAATAATACACACCGAGGACGCATGAGCACGGCTACCTTCGCCAAATTAACAGATGCACTGATTAAAATAAACATAAATAATTCAATATGTGAGAAAAGGCGCGATGACTAAACTGAGGACTGTTTCTGCCAAACAACAACACAGGAGACGCAGGGCTATAAAACAAACGGCTGCTCTCTAATCATTACTCTTTTACATGTGACCAGTTCACACACACACACACACACTGCGATGCACACAGTCATTTTCAATATTCAATGTCAATTATTGTCACACAGTAATTTTCAATATTCAATGTCAATTATTGTATTTTTTTTATGTCACACCTGCACAGGCTCATCATCCACCTTGACCTGTCCGGCGATCTCCATCATGTCCAGTGCGAGGTGGCAGATAGACTTGGCGTGGTGCGTGCATGGCTCCGGGAGACCGCTCACCGTCATGTACTTATCACCCACCGTCTCCACCTGTACGAGGAAAAACATTGGTTGGTTCATCTGCAGGATTTTTTTTTATCTGTTTTCCTTAGATGTACAGCGCTGCTAAAAATAAACCTAAACATCCAGATATAACCACTGACATCAGCTTCAAGACTTTTAGGGGGCTCTTTGAGTCCCGCTAAAACA